TTCATTAGGTAATCCATCACCTCTGACAGGATAAGCGTTCTATGCAAGCATATGCAACTGGCTTACTTGTAGCTCAGGATGTGGCTGAAATGAAAGAGGCTTGATTGACTAGTATAAAGAGGGACTATCACATGAAATATTGGACTAAGTCAATCATTCAAGGCACCCCATAGACTATCAGCATTAATCCAGGTCTGCTTAAGTATCTATGAAAAATTCAAGGAGCAGAATGAATGGCAGAATAAGGGAAGGGAAGACATCACCATTCTTTTTTCTTCTCTCCTTCCACCCATATATCAGAGACTTCAGAAGTAGTAGGAGTCTTTAACTGTCACTGACCAGAATTCTGCAAGTTAACAAAATAATAATTAAAATAATTACACAGTTTCTATTTCAAATAAAATAAAATCACCATAAAATTATAACTGGAACATTGAGGCGACCAGGGTGTGTCTAGTTTTACAGACAGTATAACCAATGTAGATATATTCAAGGAAACAAAATCATATCAGTCTGATAAAAGTAACTGTACATAAAATAAATCATAATTATCTAGTTACTTAGTATGGAGTTAAAACAGGTCCTTTTGTCCTCATAGAAGGCACAATACAACAGGATATGAGCTATGGGTTCCAGAGATCCTTCTCCACAAGGGCATGATTTTAGCTGTCAGGGAGTTTTTTTATATTTGCCCTTGAGAAGAGCTGCTGGAAGTTCAATGAAACATGCTAATGTTAGTGCTCTTTGCAGTTTAGAGACAGTTATTTGGTTTAAATATCTTGCTGGTCTGAAAAAAATGACTTGACTATTCAGGAACACATTCCTGGGTTGGGCAGATTGATATATTTGGGCTTCCAAATCTCTAGCATATTGCTTGGGTGCAATAAGTGCTTGATCACAGGCCATAATCAGAACCCATAGTGTTGCAGGTTTTGTAGGGATGTTCTTTACTATGTTGATTTATAATTGTCCTCAGTAAGCAAAGAACCTAGACCTCCAGGAAGTAACAAGGTGACATGGTAATTTAGCCATTCCTGTAACTACAGATTCAGATTGGCTCACAAGTTGCCTGGCCTGCCACATTCTGTACCAACTGCTGCTTCTAAATGCTCTTCAAGGACAGCCTTGAGGAGAGGATGTTAGGGTACTCCAAACAGAGGCAACTAGAGTGTGAATGACTGTGAGCAAGTCTTTCCAGTCTAGGAATGGTTGCAGTTGTAGCTGAGCAAAAGCCCTTCTAGCATGTAGCAACTACGAGTCTAGAGAATCTGCAAATTGTGAGCCACCTCTGAGCAGGGGAGTACAATTTTGTCCAGAATCAAAGATGGAATTTCCCTGAAATTGTTAGGTCCACAAACCCAAAGCCACTTGGTTTTGGAGGAGTTCAGTCAGAGTCTTTTCCTCTCAGTCCAAACCCTGACAGCCTCCAAGTACTGGGTTGTACTTCTGCCACATCACCTATCCAGCTTGGGGACAGAATATATAACTGGATATCATCAGCATATTGATTAAATTGAATCACCGGCTGACAGATGACCTTATCTGGAAATTAGAAAGGAGTAGAGAGAAGAAAGATCCCTAAGGCATTCCACAGAGTAGAGATCTCCAGGCAGATAGAACCATTGCAAAACAGTGTTCCCCCACTCTAGTTCCTTGGAGATGGTCCAAAAGAAAACCATGGTCAGTGGTATCAAAAGTTGCTGAGAGATCAAGAAGAGCCAGAAAAGTTGTACTTTCCTGATCCCAGTCTCTTCATAAGTCATCCACAGGTACAGCCAATGCAGTTTCTGTACTGTATGCTGTCCTGAAACCTGACTGCCAGCCTTCCA